GGCATCGGGCCTAGATGGATTACCAGCAAAACTTATTAAACTGGCCTCACCTTACATTGCTAAATCGCTGACAACAATATTTAATAGGTCTATATCCACCAGCATATTTCCATGTGAGTGGAAAAATGCAAGAGTCACCCCAATTTACAAAAGTGGCCCTAAATCTAATATGGATAATTATCGACCTATATCTATTATTTCGGTAATTGCCAAAACAATGGAGAAATTCGTACATAACCAGGTCTATTTCTATTTACAACGGGCAAACATACTAACTAATGCACAACATGGCTTTAGACCTCTCCACTCCACTGTTACTGCATTGTTAAAAATGACAAACCATTGGTATCAAAATATGGATGAAGGGTTAATCAATGGAGTTGTCTTTTTAGATCTAAAAAAGGCATTTGATACCGTTGACCATGGTATTTTATTTAAAAAATTATATTTATATGGAGTGAGAGGAAGGGCGCATGACTGGTTTAGGTCCTATCTGTCTAATCGTACCCAGTATTGTCAAGTTAATGGCAAACTGTCTGAACCACGAACAATAATTACTGGTATTCCGCAGGGCTCAATTCTTGGACCCTTACTCTTTCTTGTTTACATAAATGACTTGCCAAATTGCTTAAAAGTGCGGATTGTGACATGTTTGCTGATGATACTCAATTAGGAACGGCAAATAAGGATGTCAAAGTAATTTTTGAAACGTTAAATGATGACCTAGCAAATATTTCAGTTTGGATGGCGGCCAACAAGCTGAGCCTGAACAAAAGCAAAACTGAATATATGTTTATTGGATCACATCAAAAACTTAAACAGTGTAACTCCGAATTGCAAATAAAAATTGGAGATACGCCTATTCAACGAGTAACCGTTACTAAATCACTGGGTATGATGGTAGATGAGACCTTAACCTGGCATTCTCAAACAGATCTAATTACAAAGAAAGTGAACAAGGGTCTTTACGTCCTTAGACGATTAAGAGATTTTGTTGATGTAAGGACTCTAGTAACAGTTTACAAAACCTTAATTCAACCACACTTTGATTACTGCTCGCAAGTATGGGGTTGTCTTGGAATTACCCTTCAAAACCAATTGCAACGTTTACAAAATAGAGCAGCACGTATCATTACAAAGCGTGGGTATGAATTTAGATCAGCCGATATACTTAAAGAATTAGATTTACCTAATTTAAGTCTCAGAAGAAATAATCAATTATGTACTACTATGTATCAGGTAAATAATAATATGGTGCCTGATTACCTAATTGATTTATTCACGAAACCCAGTACACTTCATAATCATCAAACTAGGCAGGCTGAATTTAACTTTGCACTCCCGAGGCCAAGTACCAACTTTTGTAAAAAATCATTCTCGTACAGAGGAGCTGTAGCTTGGAATGATTTATTACCTAATATAAAAAATATGGGTTCATTGTCAACCTTCAAAAGGGCTCTAGTGTCAAATAGTGGTAATAATTCTTGATAATCAATTTATCTTTTTTTCTCTTTCTCTTCGATTTTATTGTATTAACTTAATAAAATATTTTTATAATTGCATGTAATTATTCATACATATATAGCACGGCCTATTGGAAGATCACATCTTGTAAATATTTTAGTTTTTATCTTTGTGAAATAGTACCGTGGGTAAATAAAGTTTGATTGATTGATTGATTGATAATGTTCCAAAACAGACATGCTTAAACGCGAAATTCTAAATTTTAAAGCCACGCGTTAATACGCTGTGATGTCTTTGGCCGATTTTGGGTATTACACTGCATGTGTATGACGAATATAGTCACTAAAATGCAGTTGAGATGTCACTAAAATATACAATTGAGATCGGCCCGGAAATGGTAAATGTGGAAACGCATTTGAACACTTAGGGGCTGATTATACATGAGGATTTTTCAGGCCAGGCTGAATTGAAACCCGGTTAACCGAGCTGAAATTGTTTTACGATTACATGGAAAATGTCAGCCCGAGATGAGTTAGAATTTCAGTTCAAACCGGGTTAAAATCTCAGCCTGGGCTGAAACATCTAAGGGTTTAATGGGAAGTTCGCGTATTCCTGCTGATTCCCCAGTCCTGTCACAGATGGATATGTGATGACGTCGATCGCATTCTTGGCAACTTCTCTTAAGGTACGTTTACACGCTGCGATTTGTCGGCCCGATTTTGCTCGCTGTATGTAAATAACCTGTCGCGAGAAAAATCTGTAACAAAACACAGATATTTCTCACGATTCAACGATTTTTCTTCCGTTGTAAAATTGTTGAAAACTTTTCGCACGCAGAAAACTATAATATAAACAGACGAGAGAGCGGACAGCTTCAATTGAACGTTCAAATCGCTAAATGTCGAAGAGGGGGCATCGATCATTTACCAAAATCGGCCCGACCAATCGCAGCGTGTAAACGTAGCTTTACTTGGACACTCAGCAGCTCTGTGGCGCAGTGCAGGTAAAGCATGGACGGTTTATGCTTGTATCTGTCTTCGCTCCGAAACAGTTGTCACCATTGAGCACTCACTTGATTTATGATTTTTACTTGATCACGTTACCACAATAGGTCTTGATGCCGAAACCACAATAGGTCTTTCAATCACAAAAAGAATACTCAAACGATATAGAACTTTCGAAATATATTTGGAAATTAAAAGAAAACAAACAAAATAGATTTCGGCATAACTTGGTCAATACTAAAACGCCTTGTTCTTTATACGAGGATCAAAAAGATGTACAATTGTTTACAATTTTTACTTAAGAAATTTCTAGTAAACAATGGAAGGAATGCATATGTACTGTTTGACGGCCACATTTCCAACCATAAACATTTAAGCAGACTACTTTTCGAAATTTGTCAGCCACGTGATGATTTCTCTTGGATGAAATAGGCTTGTGTGCATCGGTGGCAACCTTTTGAGGTAAAATAACTATATCTTCTGCTCTATCTATATTATATCGAGCGCTCTTTAGCACTTCGTATATACCAAGAATTTTCCCGCCCTTCGGTCTTTCCGATCATAACACCATCATTGCGGAAGGACAGACAAGGAATAGAGGCTGTTCTATACGAAAGTCTTACTTAAACGACATAAGCGTACTAGCCGTAAAGCTGAGTTGGGTAGATATCTGGCTATACAGGAATGGGATACACTTTTTCCTCTATTGAAACCTGTGAGGAATTGCTGAATGTTTTTAATGTGGTTAGTACTGGCCTTAATATATTGATGCCTATGTAAAAAAGATTCGTATAGCTCAATGGTCATGCCGAAGACAGACAACTGTCTTTGAAGTTGAATGGTTCAGCCGAAGACATTCGACGGCATAAACATTCAAGTTGACTGGTCATGCCGAAGACATTCAACGGCATAATTATCCAAGTTGAAAACATTCAACGGCATACCCAGCCAAGTTGAATGTTTATCCCGAAGACAGTCAACTATCTTTCAAGTTGAATGGTTATGCCGAAGACATCCGACCGCATAACCATCCAAGTTGAATGCTTAGGCCCAAGACAGTCAAATGTTTATGCCGGATACATTCAACGCCATAAACATCCAAGTTGAATGGTTATGCCGAAGACAGTCAACGGCATAACCATCCAAGTTGAATGGTTATCCCGAAGACAGCCAAATGCATAACTATCAAAGTTGAAGACATTCAACGACATAACCATACAAGTTGAATGTTTTTGCCGAAGACAGTCAAATGTTTATGCCGAAGACATTCAATGGCATAAACGTTCAAGTTGAACGGTTATGCCGAAGACATTCAACGGCATAATTATCCAAATTGAAGACATTCAACGGTACAACTATCCAGGTTGAATGTTTATGCCAAAGACATTTAAGACATTGAACGGCATAAACATCCAAGTTGATTGGTTATGCCGAAGACAATCAGCTGTCATCGGCATAACCATCAGACAGTCAACTGTTTTCCAAGTTGAATTGTTATGCCGAAGACATTAGACGGCATAATTATTCAAGTTGAAAACATGCAACTGTATAACCATCCAAGTTGAATGTTTAGGACGGACGGACGGACGGACGGACGGACTATAAATGTATACGCAGTAACACTTTGAAAACATGAACGCGGCGGAATAAGAAAAAACAGGACACACAATCATGACAATTTGGGTTTCTTAATCAGGCTTACTGAACAGTTTGTTACACGAGTCATTACATCCTTTGTATGTTGGTACATATTGCCTTCAACAATGTCGGACATAGTTAATACAGTGGCGTAGCCAGAACGATAATTGGGGGGAGATATTCATATATTCGTGTTCTGCTTTATTAATTTCTTTTGAAATCAATTGTTTTTATGGTATGTGAACACGAATATATGAATATGCCCCCCCCCCCCCCCCCCCCCCCCC